GAGACCCAGGCCTCTTACGCACAGACACTCATTTGGACTTCTCCCTCCCTCAGCCCACATGTTGGGTGGGCTTCATCTATGATCTGAAAACCCATTTCAGACCTGAATTCACCAGTACCTGTAGCCAATTGACCAAACTGTAGCCAACACCAAGTGCTTTGTGCCTAAATCCCTTTGAGTTTATTTAAGGGGCTGTGTGCTTCATTGAGACATGATTCATGTCTTTAGTGATCCATACAGTGTGAGCTTTCACACCATGCTGCTTGACCCTTCCATGTCCCTAGACAGAAACTCTATCCCCATGAGCAGTCCCTCCCCTGCCCCTTCCCGCCCATCCCTGGACCACTCTGTTCTCTGTTTCTGTGGGCTTTTGGATTGTGGACATTTCTCCTAAGTGGAATCCAGGGTCACCTGGCCCTGCATGTCTGGCTTCTTACATTCAGTACAGTGTTGCAGAACTTTATCCATACTGTGTATGTGTGTAACCCTTTTCTTGGCTGAATAAGATCCCATCAAGTCAGCAGGATGCACTGTCCGCCCTGCCTGTCATATAGATGAGTGCACTGTCTGCCCTCCCCAATGTGTGGACAGGGTATGGCATCTGCCTGTCATATAGATGAGTGCACTGTCTGCCCTCCCCAATGTGTGGACAGGGTATGGCATCTGCCTGTCATATAGATGAGTGCACTGTCTGCCCTCCCCAGTGTGTGGACAGGGTATGGCATCTGCCTGTCATATAGATGAGTGCACTGTCTGCCCTCCCCAGTGTGCGGACAGGGTATGGCATCTGCTGGTTGTGTGGATCATGTGGACGGGATGCTGTTCTCTGTCTCTCAGATGATGGACACTTGGCTGTTTACGCTCTTGGGGTTTCTCTGGACGAGCATGCAGAAGTTTGTGTGTGTGAACACAGAACTTGCATGTCTGGGTTTGACAGGAAGAGCAACTGCTGGGCCCAGTCACCACTCTGTGACTCTCAAGGCACTGCTGGGCAATTTCCACCATGGCTGGTCCATGTTGCATTCCCACAAGCGGGGTGTGAGGGTCCCTGTATCTCCCCATGTTTTCGGCACTCACTGGGGTCTCTTAGATGGCTGTCCTGACTGTGGTTTGCATTTCCCTGGCAACCAGCCATGGCGCGTCTCCTCCTGTGCCTTCTGGCCGTCCGTCTGTCTGTCCTCTGTCCTTGCTGGAGAAATGTCTGTCCCTGTCCAGCTCCCACTGTCAATGTGGGCTCGTACCTTTGCAATGTACCCTGACGCATTCTGCATATGAGACTCTTACTGGACATGCAATTGCAAACGTCTTCCAGCCTGCGACCTTGCCTTTCGGTTTTTTTTTTTTTTTTTTTTTTTTTTTTTTTTTTTCTCCCCGTAGCCCCCAGCTGTCCTGGAACTCACTATGTAGACCAGGCCGGCCTTGGACTCACAGAGATCCACCTGCCTCTGAATCCTGGGATTAAAGGCCTGTGCCACCATACCTGGCTAAAGGATTTTTAAAATTATATTGTAGGGGCTGGAGAGATGGCTCAGCAGTTAAGAACATTGGTTGTTCTCGCAGAAGACCAGGTTCGAATTCCAGCACCCACGTGGCAGCTAACAACTGTCCGTAAGTCCAGTTCCAAAGGATCTGACAGCCACTTCTGACCTCTGTGGGCATTGCACAACATGGGTGCACTTACATGTAGGCAATACACACATAGACACAAAATTTAAAAAAATTAATTAAATTAAAATTATATTGTATTCATTTACTGAGGGAGGGGGACTGGTTCTCTCCTTCCACCATGTGGTTCCAGGGATCAAACTCAGGGGTCAGGTTTGGCCTCAAGTGCCTTTAACTGCTAAGTCATTTCACTGACCCACAATACAAGTTGTGTAGACAGGTGAAATGCAAGGTGTCATCTGGGCTTATCCTTTTCATGTGACTGCTGGTGAATCCTGACACATTCCCACTCTCCTTCAGGATGACTGCTGTCCGCTCATTGGTCTGCTGGGGTCCTGGTCTCCCTCTCCCTCCCCCTCCATCCTCCCCTTGAATACCCCTGACACCTTTTCCCTCTAGTAGAGCAGAGGCTTGGGAAGACAGAAGGCAGCTCCCTTATAATAAGGGGTTGGGAACCCTGTGGACCATGCTTTCTGCTCAGGGGAATGCCTTTTTATTTTCATGAGACATCTCACTCTCCAACCCTGGATGGCCTGGAACTCACAGAGATCAGCCTGCCTCTGCCTCCCAAGTGCTGGGATTAGAGGCTGCGCCACCATGCCTAGGCTGAGGAACGGCTTTTTAAAAACACGCTTGGTTTGTGTTGCAATGATTCTGGTCATTACAGAAATTGTGAAAAACAAAACAAAAACCAGCCAACACCACAAAGAACCCCCCACCCCATCTAGCAGTTGTGACAGCTGATGTGGGACTTCCCTCCTTCTGGTTATTTCCGACACATCACTGACAGATACATTTTATAGTCTGAGATGTCTTCCTGCGAGACCTCCTTTGGGCTTTGGGCTCTTTCCTGGGAAGGTCCTCGTTTTATATTTTATCAAATCTTCCACCCAACCTGTCAGTGACGCGTGTCCTTCCACAGTGGTCAGAACAGCAATCTCTTCTACATCACTTGCCTAGTGTCCCAGAGTCCTGTTACGTGTACACACACTTGCACAGCTGACTGTTCTCTGTGCATCCACTCTGACTCCCAGCAGCAGCGTGTGGACTGGCTAACTGCTGGTTGCACTGGACGGGGGAAGCTGAGCCTCAGAGAGGCAAAGCATCTGCCTGGGGTTGCACAGCTAAGGCTCAAGCTGGGATTCACACCTGGGCAACTGGCCTTTGGAGTCCACATGGCCTCACTGTGGGCAAAGTGAGTGGGATGGCACAAGGTGGGCTGCACTGGGGTGGGCAGGCCTCTTGCTCTTTGAGAATCTGGAGGACAAAGAGGCAGAAACAGGCTGGCCAGCACTGGGATGTGCATGCCCCTGCCACAGTCCCAGAGCTGGCAGCGTGGACATGTGCACCTGCTGGACACATCCAGGAACGCACTGAGCTTGACATCCCCATAGCTGCAAAGATACAGAGGATGGACAGAGGGTGTCATCTTCTGCCCTCAACACCCCTTGTCCTTGGTCCCAAGCATTAAGGTCCAGAGTGAGAACCTCCCAGCTACCCACAGTGATGCCAGGTTGGCACAGACGCGCTGTGCTACTGTGTAGAGTCAGCCGTGGCTGAGCAGGGCAGTGTCTGTGGGCAGAGCAGGCATCTCCCTCTCCCCAGAATCCTCACCAACCCAGGGCTTTGTGCAGGACATGGGGAAGAGCCAGACCTCATCTGGGGCACCAGAGAGGCACCCAAGTATATGCAACTAGACACTCACACAGTAAACTGAGGTGGGGACACCACACAGGGAAGGAGTGGAGATGTTGGTGGGTGCAAAAGGTCTAGAAATAGACTGGATTAAACTCTGCCAAGTCCCAGCAGGGAAGCCTGTGTCTCCTGTCTCTGCCTCCCGGATGAAGTGGGACAGTCTCTACCCTGTAGCACCGAGTTACTGTCCTAAAGGCTTCTGTGCACCTCTGATTGCTCCGTTCCAGCAAGTCTACACTTTTACTTACTATTTATTTAGTTAGTTGCTATACGGGAGGGTGTGGAGAGCGACCTGAGGGACTCGAGTCTCTCCTTCCACCACGTGGATTCTGGGGCTCAAACTCAGACTGTCAGATTTGGCAGCAAGCCCCTTTGCCCACTGAGCCATCTCACTAGTCCAGCTTCCACAGATTCAAGACCACAAACGCCCAGGTCAAAGGGCAGAAGCGCTTTGCACACCTCCTGCCTGTTGTCTGTGGCTCTGCTGGTCACAGTCCAGCTCAGCCTTCAGTGCACACAGGGGCAACTTGGACTCTGTCTCCTTCGCAGGTTCTGATCCTGGGGGGTCTGGAGGGACCCAGGCACCTGCATTGCTATACCCTGTCCACAGGCTGCAGGGCATGGCCACTGCTCACCCAAACATGGACAGCTTCTCGCCCACCATGGGTTGTACAGGGAGCCTGGTGCAGGCAACAGCCCAGAGCAGCGTGTTAGTGGCTAGGCCAGACATACGGTGTCCAAGACTGTGTGTCCGGGCTTGGCTCCTGCCCTCTCCACGGTGCCTGAATCTCTGCCATCAGCTGCCAGTCCAGCCTGGCTATTTGTGCAGGGACTGTCTGAACTGGACCTGCTCCAGGGAGGTGCAGACACAGCCCTGCATGGCTGGCTGGGCCCTGTCCCGGGAGGAGCTGGAGCCTCTGGCTTTGGTTCCTTAGTGCACAGGTTTAGTGGCTCGCAGATCTAGGGAGACCCCGTCTGGCCCAGGAGCGTAGGTGCAGAAGCAGCTGAGCGGTTCCTGAGGCACATCCCTGCTGTGGGAAACAGTGTGTGTGTTCGGCGGACTGACCCCCCTCCGCTTGTAAAGGCCCCTTTAGTTTCAGGGCTTGGTGGGCCCAGGTAAAAGTCGGGCTGAGAAATACTCGAGTGGTTTTGCTTTCACTTTTTCTACCTCCAAAAAAGCAGCTTTACCAGGTTGGGTGCTAATCCCTCCCTCCTCGGGAATAGATTCCCGAGCCCCGTCCTCAGGAGGCCCGGTGCTGACATGTTTGTACACAGGCACACATGTCACTCGGTGACTGATGCTATTCACCAAGTGCCGTGGAATCTAAGACATCACTACTTTTGTGAGGGCTCAGGGCCCCTTTGTCCCCAGACAGTAAGGCGGCCTGGCAAGAGCTCTGTGGGTTTAAAGGATTCCTGATCAATTCTTCAGGGTGGCAGGCTCCAGGGCCTCATGCAGGCAGAACTGACCAGTTAACATGGAGCGCAGTTAGGACATGGTATCTGTCTGCTGTATAGGTGAGTGGACCTGGATGTGTGTGTGTGCGTGTGTGTGTGTGATGTCCATGTGTACAGGTGCACATATATATGTATGGCTGTCATGTACTTCTGTGCACATGTGTGTGTGTGACAGTCAGGGCTCAGTTTTGGGTGTTGTTCCTTAGGATCAGTTTCTCTTGTGTTTTGAGATGGGGTCTCCCACGGGGACCTGAGGCATGTTGTTTAGGCTGGGCTAACATTGAGCCACCGGGATCGACCTGTCTCCACCTACCCAGTGCCAGGATTATAGACACACACTATACATGAGCTTTTCTTTACAAGGGTTCCGGGGATTGAAATCAGATATGCATGTCTGTTCCAACAAGCACTTTCCCAACTGAGCCATCTCTCTGGTCTTGATTTTCTCTCTTTTCTTTCCAGTTGCTCCGAGGGTCAGTCCTGGGGAAGAGTTTCATGGCTGGGGAGAGCAAAGGCAGAGTTCCCACCCTGAGAAGAGCTGAGCTTGGCTGATCCTAGAAAAGGTTGAAAAGTCTAGCAGTCCAGTGCTCGCCCACCTGGCCCCGATGTCCAGGTGTTGCATTGTGGTGGCCACACTGAAGGCTTGGCAGAGGCTTGCCAAAGTTGAACTCAGGACCGGACATGTTGGCTCAAATCTATAATCCCAGGATTTAGGAGGCTGAGGAAGGAGGACTGCTATGAGTCTGAGGCCAGCCTGGGATGAGACCCTGTCTGGAAAAAAGACAAAAACAAAGTCAGGCTCAGGTGGTGGGGTCGTGCCAGTGCCATGAAGAAAAGAAAGAGTTTGCCTCCAACAGAGTGAGTCTGTGAGGAAGCAGGCCGACCTAAGCCAGGATCAAGGCACGGAAGCCAGCTGGGGCTTCACTGTAACTGGGGTGTGGCCCGTGTGAGGGTCCGATGTGTGGGAAGGAGCTTGATCTGAGCCTTCTGCTCTACCCTGGGAGGAAGGGCCTGGGCTCCAAACACAGGGGGCAGAACCAAGGGACTGGACAAGCTCCTGTCGCCAGGTGTCAAATGGAATCAGACATACCCACCTAGTTTCAGACGACCGCAGCAAAGGAATGCCCCGTGTCTGCTGTCACTGGGGAGACTGAGGCCAGGGTGGATGGGGGTACCTCCCCAGGCGCATCCTCACAGAGGCCTATTGTCAAAACACAGGGAAGACGTCCCATTATACAAAGTTCAACATGTACTGATGCCGTGTACCGCCACCCAGAGCGAACACATGTTCGCCTTCTCCACATCTGTTCTTGAGTGTTCTTTAAGAGAGCAAACTTAGAGAGAGTTGGCACTGTCCCCGGTCCTCCCACCCCCTAGGAAACACCCCTGAAGTTACGGCCCTAGTATTCCCACACGTCTCCACCGCTGCTCCTTGTGCCCAAGTCCAGAAACTGTCACACGGAATTCCTGGAGGGCTCACTTCATGTCTGTTAGTCACTCCCCGCCCCCACCCCCCTACTGGCTCCTGTAGCTCTCTGTCCTCCAGAGGCGTTGTCCTTCCTGACACATTGCGCCTTTGGGTGAATAGAGCTCAGATTATTTAGCAGCTCTCGGTTCTGGCTACCTTCGAGGTATTCCTGTCTTTTTTGGATAGTTGCTGCTTTTAGAAGAGGCATGGAAACCACTCAGCCCAGACAACCTGAAGAAGATCCCGCAGGCTTCAAAGATATGTCTGGAAATTCCTGGGTATTTAGTTCCTCAAGAGATGGGGCTTGAGGGCTGGAGAGATGACTTAGCGGTTAAGAACACTGACTTCTTGCAGAAGACCTGAGTTCTGATCCCAGCACCCACATGGCAGCTAACAACTGTCTGTAACTCCAGTTCCAGGGGATCCAACAGCCTCTTCTGTCCTCCGTGGGCACTGCACGACACGGGTGCACTTACCTACATGCAGGCATAACACTCACACACATAAAATAAAAAAATAAATATTTTAAAAGAGATGGGGCTTGGGGCTGGAAAGATGGTTCAGCAGTTAAGCGTGCTTACTGCTGTTGCAGAGGACCTAAGTGTGGTTCCCAGCACACACATCAGGTAACTCACAACTGCCTGTAATTCTGGTAATTCCAACTCCAGGGAATTGGACAACTCTGGGCTCCATGGTCACGTGCACTCGTGCACAAAACCACACACAGGCCCACGTGCATACACTTAATTAAAAGTAAAAATAGGCCGGGCGTGGTAGTGCAGGCCTTTAATCCCAGCGCTCGGGAGGCAGAGGCAGGCGGACCTCTGTGAGTTCGAGGTCAGCCTGGTCTCCATAGTAAATCCAGGACAGCTGGGGCTACAGGGGAGCCCTGTCTTTAAAAAACCAAAAAAAAAAAAAAAAAAAGTAAAAATAAACCCTTTAGGAGCTGGGTCTCCCTCCTCCGTCCTTTGGAGGAGCTCTGCACCCTCCAAACTTGCTGCTTGATGTGAGCTTCCACAGAGCAGGAGGCTGGACCGCTCAAAGAGTGGACCTAGAGGTAGAGTCCTCGGCCAGTTAAAGCCTCAGCCAGCAGATCTGACCGCTGCCTCCTCTGCAGGAGATACCTTGGGCTGATCTCAGGGAGGCAATTCTGTTTCCTACCTCGTGACACCATGAGGTAATAAGAGGTCTATTGTGTGTCTGGGGCTGTTTGTTATGCAGCAGTAGCTACCCAGTACTCCTTGCCTTTGCTGCAATACCAAAATAAACTTGGTGGCAGCTCTGCTCTGCAGAGCCAGTGTCCACAGACGCTCTCTTCCGGTGTCACTTGCTTCCCTGGCTCCAGCAGCTCCTCTCAGAGAAGCTTTGCAGAGAGTCCATGGGACCTGGGGCTCCAGCTCCCTCCCTTGTAAAGTGGGCTGGAGGGAGTGGGGTGGAGGGGCTGGGGGTGCCCACAAGAGCCCTCACTGCACGGGCCACTTCAGACACCTATGGATCCAATGCCAGGAGGTGGTATGCTGAGCCCAAGGAGGCCCATGACCTGGGACTGCACTTGGCTTTCTTGAGATACAGGGCAGAGGTCCAGGCCACCAGTGGGGTGGCAGACAGAGGTGCTCACTTGCAAGTATCTGTCCAGCTGTAGGTTTGTTATTTGAGCATTTGTACACATTATATTCAACAAAGTGTTTAACATTTTATAACAAAGTTCCTCTGCCCCCCCGAGTGCTCGCCTCTGTATTTTGGGGTGTTTCCTTACATTTGACTTGCATGTGTACATATGCGATTCAGTAAAAGATACAACTGAAATCCCCCCAAGTTTCTCAGGGGCCAAGGAGTACTGAAGCCAGATTTCAGGAGTCCTCCCCAAACCCTCCACCGAGTGATCCCCTCCTGAGTCACTGAGACTCCGTAAATGCACTCTTATATTTTGAAATGCATGTTCGGTGGCACATGGTGGCTCATGCCTGTAATCCCATCATTTAGGAGGTTGTAATTATTAGGGTTAATTGTCAACGTGACACAATCCAGGACACGTAGAAGAAGGACCTCTGGGGATGTCTGTGAGGGCTTTTCTTAATTGATGTAGAGACCCACTGTGGGCAGAACATTCTCTGGGCTTGCTGGGTTGGATAAAGAGGAGAAAGCAAGCATGCACTGAGCATGCCCACGTTCATCCCGGCTCTGCCCTAGGCTGTCGACGGGATGTGACCAGAGGCTTCAAGTGGCCAGGCTATGAGCCAGATAAGGCCTTTCTCTTCAGTTTCTTTTTGTTGGATATTTTATCACAGCAACAGGAGACAGAGCTAAGGCAGAGGCTGTGGCAGGAGGACAGCTGGGAACCCCGGCCAGCCTGGGCTACAATGAGGCCATTCCAACCCACCAAAGCAAACAACCCAATTATGTTTAATTCTCACATAATTAAACACAAACATCTTTCTATGTCAAATGACATTTGTGGGACTAGAGCGGTGACTCAGTGGTTAAGAGCACTGGCTACTCTTACAGAGGACCCAGGTTCAATTCCCAGCACCCACATGGGTGCTAACAACTGTCTGTAAGTCCAGTTCCAGGGGCTCAAACACCCTCTTCCAACCTCCTCTGGCATTGCATGACACGGGTGCACTTATATATGCAGGCAATACACTCATACACAGAAAATAGAAACAATAAAATAAACTTTAAAAAAGGAGGGCAGTGGAGGAAGAAATCTGTTATCAGCTCTGGTGGGGGTGGGGAGCAGGCAGCTAGGAGCTGGGGAGGAAGGGACAACAGCTCTTCACATCTCATCTCTTGAGTTCCTATTTTCTTTGAGGCAGGAACTCACTCACGCAGCCCAGGACGGCCTGTAGCCCAGGCTGGCCTGGAACATGCAGTGCTCCTGCACCAACAGGATGTGCCGCAGTCACAGGCTTTTGTCAGGGCACCTTACCCCATCTGAGGAGCTCCTTCAACCTCTCCAGGCTCTGACTCCTTTTCCGAAGAGCCCTCTTCCCTGAGCTTCTGAGCTGGAGCCCCGGAGTCCCCAATTTAAATACTGAAATGGCAGAGTTTGTGCAAGGAAGTCCTGTCATGTGGGGAGCACGCCTTGGAGTCCAGAGCTGCGCGTAGAGCTGTGCGCTACAACAGTGTGGTGCCACCTGCCTCTCAGGTCCTCGTCAGAGCTGGGTGGCAGTCATCAAGCCCCAGGTTTTGTGTTTAAATCTGAAGTGATCTGGGTTCAGCAGGGAAAAGTACCTCCATGAAGTTCTCCTTCCCCATTTGTGACAGAAAATTCTGCTCAGGTACGCCAACTTTTCCCGTGAGTATTTTCTCCTTTGCAAACACATTGACACTGGGCTCTGCCTTGTAGAGCTACAGAGGCCGAAAGCAGCACAGGACTGAACCCACGTGATCTTGAACTCATCTTGTAGCCTCAGCAGGTCTAGAATTTGCATCCTCCTGTCTCAGTTTCCAGTTAGGGTAAGGCCAGCCTGGGGAACTTAGTGTGTAAGTAGAGGGCTGTGTGTGCACCTCAGCACACCTAGCTTGTGTGTGACCCTGGATCCAATTGTGAGTACCGAAAAAGAAAAGAAAAATAAAAGGAAGGGAGCTGCAAACCTACCCCAACTCCCCAGCCCCCCCCCCCCCCCCCTACAGGGAATGACATTGGCTGCGTGCCAGGGTTCAGCCCAGCTGCCGCACCAGGAGTGGAGCCGCATTCAGGAGCCGACAGGACGCTTTTGGAGACCAAATCACTGGGGAGCGCAAGGAGGCATTGGAGAGAGGCAAGTAATTAACCAGGCAAGCCCGCTGGGGCAGGAGGGAGGGACTGAGAGCCGGCCAGAGCAGAGGCGGGGGTGGAGGGGGGGTTGGAGCCCGTCGGAGGGCGGTTTGCCACTCTGTGCTGTCACCCCCCTCCACGACCCCCTGTTCAAGTGGCCAGGGTCGTTATCAGCACACTGTTTCCAGGCCGTAGGTAGCATGGTCTAGCTCACAGTAGGTGTTCAGAAAACAGCTACTGTGTGAGGAGACGGGAGGGAAGAGACGAAGGTGGTCCTGCCATCAGCCAGGAGGGTGGGCTATGGGAGGGACAGTCGGCGGGGGGGGGCAGATGACCACAAGTACATACTCGGTATGAGGATCCTAATTTTAGGGAGATTAGATACAAACTCCGTTGGGCAGCTGGAGACGTTTGAGTGTGACAGGGTACTGGATAATGGTTAGGAAATAGCTGTGCTTGGTTGGCTAGCCTATGATGATGGATGCGGTGTGCTTTATTTTTAAAAGTCGTTAGACAAAGCTGGGCCTGGTGGTGCACGCCTTTAATCCCAGCTCTTGGGAGGCAGTGGTAGGCGGATCTCTGTGAGTGCAAGGCCAGCTTGGTCCCCATAGAGAATCCAGGACAGCTGGGGCTATAGGGAGACCCTGCCTCAAAAAGACACACACACAAAAAAAAGTTGTTAGAAAATACAGTAGGACTATAGCAAAGCTAGAACCGGCTTTAAAACTGTTTAAGAGGCAGGGAATTGGCTTAGCATGTAAAGATACCTGCTGCCAAGCCTGGCCACCTGAGTCTGATCCTCAGAGCCCAAATAGTAGAGGAAACTCCTGCACGTTGTCCTCCGACCTGGTATGTGCGTGCACATACAAGACAGATGATAGATAGATGATAGATGATTGATTGATAGATGATAGATACATGATAGATGATAGATGATAGATGATAGATAGATGATAGATGATTGATTGATAGA